ACCGAGTGGGCAGGGTCTGCTGAGTGACAGGTGAAAGAGTAGGGTCTCTGGGTGGGGCTTGGCGAACCACGCCCACCGAGCGGCGGAGTCAGATGAGTCTGTGAGATGAGGGGAGCGGGGCCTCTAGGCGGGGCTTGGCTAACCACGTCCATGGAGTGGGTGGGGTCTGATGAGTTTGTGAAATGAAGTTGGCAGGGTCTATGGGCGGGGCTTGGCTAACCACGCCCACTGAGCGGGCGGGGTTCTGGTGGATAACAGGTGAAGGGGCGAACCTCTGGGCGGGGCTTGGCTGACCACTCCCACCGAGCAGGGGGAGGCGGGTTCTGATGGGTCTGTGACTGAGGTGAAGGGGTTAGGGCCTCTGGGCGGGGCTTGGCTAACCACGCCCGCTGGGTGGGCGGGGTCTGCTGAGTGTGGTGAAGGGGCGGGCCTGGGGGGCGGGACTTGTCTAGCCACGCCCACCGAGCAGCGGTGTCTGATGGGTCTGTGAGATGAGGGGTGGCAGGCCTCTAGGTGGGGCTTGGCTAACCACGCCCACCGAGCGGGCGGGATTTGGTGGGTCTGACTGAAATGAGGCAGGGCGGGGCTTAGAGAGGTCGGGGCCTAGAGGGAGCGGGGTGGGGCCCAGAGGCGGAGGGGCCGGAGAGAAGAGGGCCCTAGGGTGGAAGGTGAGAAAGACGTGGGACCTTCACTGGTAGCTGGTGGAGATGCAGTGTGTCCTGAGGAAGGGGCCTCAGGGGAGATGAGGGGCGGGTCCTGTCAAGGTGGGCTGGTGGCTGTGGAACTGAAGAAGAGGCAAGGCCTAAGGCCATAGGTGGGGTCTGGGTAGGGACACGAGTAAATGGCTATGGGCTGTGGAGGAAGGCGGGGCCTAAGGAGGATCCTGGGGAGGGCGGGGCCTGATGGGTCTGTGAGTATAAATGAAGAGGAGGGCAGGCGAGAAGACGGGCCTAGGGTGGAAGGGTGGACGGGTGGGGGGGTGTGGAACCCTACCTGGTAGCTGGTGGAGATGCAGTGTGTCCTGAGGAAGGCGGCCCCCGCGGAGATGAGAGGAAGGTCCTGTCGAAGTGGGCCGGTGTCTGGACTGGAGAA